TGTGTGTGTGTGTGTGTTTTGAGGCTGTCTTTGGGATCGTCCTTTGCTGATATGTTTTTAATATATTACAGTTTTTCTCAGTCGCTTTGGTACATTTCTCAAATCATCCTCGACATTTGCAAAACAGTAAGTGCATTTCTCAAAACAATTCGTACAAATAGCAAAACAACCATGGATTACCTGAAAAAGCCAGTCTCTTGCTCAAAATCCTTAGTTCATCTCTCAAAAGTAAATATCTGTGTCAATGAATATGTCAGTGCCATGAGAATGACAAGTCCTTGTGTGATTGTGTACGGATAAGACAGTCAAATTGCTTAGTCATGTTGTCAATATAACAGTGTACTCTGGAGGGATGTTCTGATGTAAACTATGACTAAAGTTTTGATGACAATCATTGTAAATTGTAAGGTACACCTTAGTGTATGTGGGAGATTGATTGAAGAGACTGGACAAGATTCAAATTTACGCTTTTACTGTTTGTACTGTAATTTGTTGACAGACCATGTCATTGCGATACAGAAAGGAAAAGACAGCACTGCAGAGCACAAAGAAAAAACTCCTCCGCCATGCAGCCTCTCTCCTCTTCCTCTTCTTTTTCTCTCTGGCTGTTGACCCCGTCCAATTCCTTGTCCTTCCATTGTCAGACATTGTAACATTGTGTTGTGTTTCAGCTATATATATATACTTGCCAGCTGATGGTTCATGAGATGCACCTTTGAGCTATTTCAGAAAACTGGTAAATCATTGGTTGAGCTAATGCTTCACACATTTCCCTTCGTTAGAGAAAGTCAGGATTCACCTGGGAGCAATTTACCAGTTCAGGACAGATTTAGAAAAAAAGTCTAATGGAAATGTACAGTATAGAAATATGCTTGACATATTATGACAACTTATTCAACCATTTTGCACGTAAAGACTTATGTGATGATCTAATGCCTAAATGTTGTGGGGGTGAGACTATTCAACAGAGACCCATTATAATACATTTTGATCAACATGACATAAGCAATTGATAATGTAGGAAAGAGCAGAGAATTGTACATACTCATTTGCATGGATGTACCAAAGCATTTGCAACTTGTTCAAAGAAATGAGAAACTGCTTTTTTGATGTGCACAAGTGACACAATGATGTGAAGATTGAAGAAGTAGTTTTCAATCAATCAATCAGTTTTATTTATAAAGCCCAATATCACAAATCACAATTTGCCTCACAGGGCTTTACAGCATACGACATCCCTCTGTCCTTATGACCCTCGCAACGGATAAGGAAAAACTCCCCAAAAAAAACCCTTTAACGGGGAAAAAAACCCAAAAAGTTTTGAGAATTTCAATTCTGATCTGAGAAATGTACCAACGCGACTGAGAAAAACTGTAACATCTTGTTATATGTCGTGTTCACACAGTGAGTTATATGTCCACAGTGTCTATAAATATATCTGTAGATGTTTACATGTTTACATGTTGGTCTCTGTCTGATTGGCACCTGATATCATTTCTCTCAGTCCTTTGGTGAAGTGAAGATTTGCTCCAATCACAATGAAACCCTGCAGAGAGGTAAACAACATCGCATGGTACAGAGGACAACCAGTCAGAATAAGGCATCATATAAACACACACACACACACAACACACACACACACACACACACACACACACAGGTTAATGTTTATGGTGTACAAACTTACATTGTGATATTCAACAACCTCCTCAATGAAATCCATCCCATCAGCCAGAGGGATCTGAACTCCTCGCTTCGTCCAGTCTGAACACAAACACACACACACACACACACACACACAGTCAGCGTCTCCGTTTTTCACAGTAAAACAAGTTTTATAAATGAATCTGATTCTTACTGTTGATTAAAGGAACGACTGACATCTGCAACATCGTCTTCAGAGGAGCCTGAAGAGGA